GTTAAAATCTGATGATTCTTATTTTTGTGCCTTGACTGAAATAAGTTAATTTATTTCTTGTTTAACCACCCACAGATTCAACACAAGAGCTTAACTTTGGGAGAAGTTCTGGATGGTGACAGAATGGCATTTTCAAATTATGATATAAAATTTAAAGGTAAGTGCATAGTGCAAATAATTAATGTGTAATTAATTATTTATTATAATTTATTCATTATCTATTAATCTATTATCTATTTATTTATTATCTATTAATTATAGATGAAGTTACAATATTTTAACACATGTAGCTACTTTGTTGCTAAGAGGGCAGATCAAAGTCAAGATAGCTTTGGGTGAGTTGAGATAAGTAGTTATCGGAAATACATTTTCAGTGTTAGAAAATGTTAACTTTATAATGAATGAAATATTTTCTTTTTAAATTTGGCACAATTAGAAATGATTATAATGTTTTTAAGGTTATTACTTTCATTTTCTTTTATCATTGTATTCTTAGTTGTTGTTTTATTGTTTTAACAAGCAAATGTACTCACCCCACTGACAGGAAAAGTTTAAATTAATTTATCAATTTAAATCATTTCATGGGCTTTAAAAAGGTAATTATGTTGCACTCTTGGTTTCACTCAGAGCCAAAACTCTGAGGTGCTTATACCGCCCACTGCAAAAAGTAATTGTTGAGTATTTCAGTCATGCTAAGAGCAGCTCGACAATAACATACGGTAAATCTACATTTTTATTCTATAAGTTACATCACATTTTGAAATGTGAATGATAGTGTGAGTAGTTCCTAACAATTTAGTGTAGAATATCCTGCTCGTGAAATAAAATTTGGCATCAACATTATTCTTGCCTGTTCTCCTGTCATTTCAAAAGTGAATGTTGAGCTTTGCCTGGGTGTGCAGCCTTCATATGTAAGTGGGAGAGAGATGAGTGCTCAGGACAAACAATACATATGAGATTGAAAAATATCTTTTAAAAAAGTATCGCTTACAAAAAATAATAAGTTGATGACACCACTGTTTCAAGATGCACAATAATATATTTGTATAAAATTAAAAAAAAAATAACAACATGTTTCAGTGGAACATGCCCCATCATCTTCAGGAGGCTGAAACATGTAGAGTTTTTTAGTTGTTTTTTTTAACTTTATACAAATGAATTATTGTATATATTAAAACATTGGTGTTGTCAGCTTATTATCTTTATTAAATCTATGCATAATAACTGTCACTACAACATATCAATTGTTCCATAATGACTTAATAAAAGAACATTATGCCTGGAAAATGTTTTGAATACCAATAGAAGTTCTTGAATTTTGTTAATGTAAAAGTGTACTAATCCTTAAACTAGTGATGCAAAAGAAATTTTATGATTTTGGAACATGTTTATAAAATCTGAAATAACTGAAGATAGCAAACGTTTGATGGGTGGGTTAAATTAGAAAAGAAACAATTTCTCTTATGTATATTGAGAATGTTTCAGCTTTACGAGTTTGTGTGTTAAATATTTTTTCTTCATTGTATTATTCTCAAGTCTTTTAGTTTTGTTATATCTGTATAGCTGTACACTTGAGAATATACAGAATTATTCATTTTATTAAAATAATTACATTATAAGCAAATCATTAAGTCTCAAGTCTTAAGGCTACCATTATAATTACCATAATCATCTACTTTCACATTTCTGAATGTGGTACAGCATACTAGAGTAATAAAAAACTTTTATCAATGTAAAATAGGAGAACCCTTAATACACACAAGTAAAAGCATTTTTAAAAATAATACTGGTGTAAAGTGAATTACAGTCAGATGAGATATTACTCCATAATATTTAACTGAGGAACAAATTTAACTTAATTAAACTATAGCAAATTTTATTTGAAAGAAAATTCATATCCAATTATGATTTCAATAAAAAAGGTTGACGTAGGTTGGAATACTTAAAAATAATCATAAGAGCTTAAAATATTATAATATAAAAATTGTTTTTAATTTTACATATTTATTTATCAGTTGTTTATTTATTATAAATACTAGCAGACATACCTGTCCTAAAGACAGTGATACAGCAGTGTATGGGAATATAAAAAATGTATTTAGCAGAATGAGACCCAAACAAAAATTCA